TCTACTTCCTGTCTCTGTGAACCTGACTATTCTAGTACTTCGTGTAAGTAAAATAATACAGTATTTTTCTTTTTATGTCAGACTTATTTCACACAGGATAATGTCTTTAAGGTTTATCTGTGTTGTGTAGTGTGTGTCAGAAAGGAAAATTTCTTTTTAAGGCTAAATAATATCCCACTGTATTTATATACTACATTTTGTTTATTCATCCATGGGCATTTGGGTTGTTTTCACCTTCGGCTATAATGAATGATGCTGCTACGAACCTTAGTGTACAAATACCGGTTAGAGTCCCTTCTTTCAGTTCTTTTGGGCATCTACACAGAAGCACAATTGCTGTATCATATGGTGATTCTATGTGTAATTTTTTAGCCCACTGTAATACGTTTTTGAATACTTATTTTTTTTTTCTTATGAAAGAAATATATTCAGGGGCGCCTGGGTGGCTCAGTCATTAAGCGTCTGCCTTCGGCTCAGGTCATGATCCCAGGGTCCTGGGATTGAGCCCCGCATCGGGCTCCCTGCTCAGCGGGAAGCCTGCTTCTCCCTCTTCTACTCCCCCTGCTTGTGTTCCGTCTCCCGCTGTGTCTCTCTCTGTCAAATAAATAAATAAAATATTTAAAAAAAAAAAAGAAAGAAAAATATTCAGAGTGATTAAAAGAAATGTAGGAAACAATGAAATGTATAAAGAAGAAAATAAAAATCACCCACATTCCAATTTCTCATGGATGCCATTAACATTTAACATTTGGTATTTTTGATTGTCTTATTTAATGTACATAAACATATTTGCAAAATTAGGCCTGAAGACTATATACAAATTTCTCTCTTGCTTTTTTAAACTCAGAATTGTACTATGAAAATTTTCCTAAGTCATAGAACAGCCTATGAAAATGCTTTTTAATAACTGCTTAATATGTATGCATGTAGTGTGTATCTAACATGGATGTCCAATAATAAGGAAGTGATGAGTTCATAGAGGGGAATATTTTCCAGTCACTCAAAATGATGTTTTCAAAGGCTATCTCCTGACATTAGAAAATACTCACAAAATGTAATGTTAGGTGAAAATAGGAGACAAAGCCATGTACATCTAATTCAGTTTGTACAGCGGTTCTCAGACAGATGGGAGCTTAGCCTAAGAGCAGGGTAAACTATTAGATTTTAGTAGAGGAGTGACATACCAGATGTGCATTTTGAAATATCACTCTTGGTGGTAGCTAAAAGTGGCAAAAGCAGATATAGGGATACTGTTTGGTTGGGAGTCCAGTCTGGGGTGATGGAGGCTTAGAGTAGGACAGTAGTTGTAGATGTGATGAGAAATAGCAGCATTCCAGACCCAGCTTTGAGGTAAACAGTCCGTATTCATGTAGTGTGCAGGGAAATGGAGCTGCCAAGGATGATTCCTCAATGTTTGGTTTTTGTGACAGGGTGAGGAACCCTGATGGAGGGATAAAATTCAGGGGTATGGGAGATGAAAAACTCAGTTTGGAACATGTACTTTTGACATAGTGGAAAGATATTCCCAGTGGAGGTGTCAAAGAGGCTGTTGAATTGAAATCCCAATGTTATAAATGTGGATATGCCCCAAAGGGCTAAAAGTCCTCCAACATGCTAACAGTCGCCTTCTCTAAGTTATGAGCAATTTTTATTGTCTTTATTATAGTATTTTATATTTCATAAATTTTCTGTAATGATCATGTATTATTTTTATAATCAAATTTAAGTGTTGCTAGAACACAGTCATCATGGCATTATTTATAGTAGTATAAAAATTGGAAACAACTTATATGTATAACAATTATAGAAGATTGGTAAAAAATAAGTAGAATGATCTTGAAAACCCTGTAGCCACCTTTAAAAAAAAAGGTTTTCAGTGTTATTCAAAAAGGAAAAGTCTGTTTAAAAATAAATGAAAAATTTAAAAGTGAAGTCTACCAAACTGACTTGAAACTAAGAGAATCTAGAATCTATTATAAACTGTAATATAAATCTATAGACTTGCATTATTAATAATTAATAATTATTTTATCCTCAGATCATACGTGAAAGAATGGTAGCCTGTTTGTCACAAGATATTTAGTTTGACATACCAGCTTTTAGTGTGGACACTTGAAAATATATTAAATCTTTGTAGTTTGCCAGATTCCTTTTCCTTTAAGGAGCTTACAATTACTAGTCATGAATTTATCATACATTAAATTGGTTTTTTGAGATGATTATTTTTCTAAGGGGAGCATTCACTGCTCTAGTGTTTATTTTGTTTGCAGATAAAAGAGCTCAATTACATCTCCTGCCTGCATTATTTGAGAGGATTAGAGTTGCCATGAATCTTGTCAGTAATGTTGAAATTATTTTAACTTTGATGCTTCAAGTCTTGTGCAAAATGAAGCCCATTTGCTTAGCGCTCCATCCAGTCTTCTAAATGAACGAATTTTATGAAGAAAAAAGAAGACTGCTTCTTCCCAAAGGTCTCTGAGAATTTGTTTTCCTTTTTTCACTTTTAAATTAACAGATTAGAATACAATGTATAGTGCTTCAGTGTACAAGTAGAATCACTCTGTCTCCACATTAAAAAAAAAACTTAAAAGGCAACACTGCTGCTTTGGATTGACAGAAATTTACTTTGTAGTCTTCAGCTCAGGTTAATCATACATATGTTAATAATACAGCATAAACCAAAGGACTTTTTTTTTTTTTTTAAGATTTTATTTATTTATTTGACAGAGAAACAGCGAGAGAGGGAATACAAACAGGGGGAGTGGGAGAGGGAGAAACAGGCTCACCGCTGAGCAGGGAGCTGGACTCTGGGCTCGATCCCTGGACTCCGGGATCATGACCTGAGCCTAAGGCAGACGCCTAAGCCACCCAGGCGCCCCCCAAAGGCCTTTTTTTCTAATAAAACTCAAAATAAATATAATACAAATGAGATTGTAGCTTCAGGCAAAGTAAAATCAAGCATGGTTATAATTTCTAGAAATTAACAGTATGATTATCTTCCATAAGCATATCCCTGCACCATTAATAAAGCATTTCCTTGTGCTTTACAATTGCATATGAGCTGAATTTACCAAAGTAAAATTTAACAGAGAAATATTCATTCCTTTAGTTGGCTCCCAAACACACTCACACATTTAGAAGATGGGCAAGACATGATTTAACAGCAATACTTTCACAAGCACCTGGGGGGATTTTAATTAATTATTAGCTCAAATTGGGAAAATTTTTACTTAGAATACAGAAGACCTTTCTAATGACTAAACCCATTAAAAATAGAATTGACTACCTTCGGGGAAGGTATTGAGTTCCTATCCCTGGAGATTTTTAAGAAGGACCAGACATCTGCCTGCTAGGGATTTTGTAAAGTTGGACCATAAACTTCTAAGGGTGTTTCCAACTCTGAATATGCCAGTTAGATTATTTCTTCTACACAGTGATGTATGAAGTATTTCTATTACACGCAATGGTTTAACTGGTGTTATCTTTCTTGCCACTTTTTGAGGTAAACTAGACATACAGAAAAGTGAACATATCACAAATGTACATAGCTTGATGAATTTTCACAACCTGAACCAGTCCCTAGAGGGAGGAACATTACTAGCACCCCTGAAGCTCCACCCTGGTGCCCACTCCCGTCATTACTTCCCCCCATTACTTCCCTCACTCCCAAGTGGTCACTACTCTATAGAAGCTTGGTGCTGAGTTGCTGGGCTTTGTACTTTATATACCTGGGATCGTTCTCTTTTGCATCTGGCTTCTTCCAACGTGATGTTTTGAAGATTCATTCGTGTCGTTGCAGGCTGAGCATTCATTTCCTTGCCATGTAGTGTTCCATTATGAGACTATATCAAAATTTACTTATCGTTAATGGCGTTTGGGTAGTTTCCAGCTTGGGACTTTTACAAAGAGTGTTGTTAAGAACTTTCTAGTACATGTCTTTCCGTGGACATCATGCACATTTCTGTTGGGGATATGTAGCTAGGGGGTAGAATTGCTTTGCCACAGAATGTACACACGCTCAGCTTTAGTACGGCCAAACAGGTGGCCAAAATGTTTGTCTTCAGGCCCAATTTTAATAGGGTCCTACCATATGAGAAATGTTAGTTTTTCCAAAATTCCATAAGCTTTGTAAAAAAAAAAAAAAAATCTTACTTGAGGTACTTGATAACTTTCTATTTTGTACTATATTTTCACATACCTTATCTCCCTTTCTAGGTTATAAACTCCTTGAAGGCATTGTTTTATTTGTCTTTACATTTCCCAAAGTACTTTGCATAGAGTAGACTCTAAATTTATTAGTTTTATATGAATGGATGAGGAAATGAGGAAAATTATATGTAGTATTAATTTCAAGGATGTTTATAAATTGCAAAAATAAAAATAGCATACCAGATAAACTACAGGGGTGATCGTGAACAGAATACATTTATTAATGGTAGCTCATAGATTTTCCTGGATTCTATAAAATTTTACATGCGATTATATGGGAGAATATGAAGTTGAATTGTGTATTTTCAACTATTAGACTTAAATCTTGGTGTTAGCTCCCACATAGAAGCCTGTGAATATTGTGAAACAGGGAGGTAAATTTGTTAGCCATGAGCTTGAAGGTGAATGGGAGGGTGTGGTGAGGGAGTATGAGAGGGAAGTCGTGCGGTAGCAGTCGTGACGGCTCTGGAACTCCAGTTTGGGTCACAGCTTTGTCCCTTCCCCTCGGTGCTTCTGCGACTGGCAAAAAGTAATGATTTCCCTCTATCATGGGGAAGGCCAGTAAGAGTTTTATGAGCCAAATGGAATTTTAGTGGCTTCTTAATTTAGCATTACCACTGTTTTAACCTGCTAAGTTAGGATATTAGGGATTTATGGGTGGTTTTCCCCTTAATGCTTTTTTCCACATTCCAAATTTCATTCAGTAAATACATACTACTTTTAAAATCAGAAAATATTTTTAAAATAATTTATGTTGCAAAAATTGCTACCTTGCTTATTTTTTATTTCAGTCTTGGCCTGCCTATGAGGATATCTATAAAAAAATGATTGAAATTGCCAAATTCTTAGATTTGCCACGTTTTCCAGACATAACTGAAGACTGCTATCTTCATCCAAACATCTTGTGTATGAAATACTTGATGGAAGTCAATCTCCCTGGTAAGTGTGGTGTATGTGGTGAGGAAACTTTTATAGAATTGTAAAATCACAATGAGCAAAATATAGAATTCCTCTTAGATCACAGACAGTTAGAGCCACCTGACAGGGTCCATCGTAACGTGAAGCTTAATTTCAGAATCCTTTCTTAAAATATTTCAGGCTACTTAAAAAGGTTAAAAGGACATTGTTCAGAAATAAAGAATTCTGTTTTGATGTGAGGGATATGCTTGGTTTTTACAATAAGTTTGCTGAGTGCAATTAAAGTAAAAAATGTTTCAATATGTGTTATTAATGAGCTGGATGCCCCCCTTCTGGAAAAAAAGGCAGTGCTTGGTCATTTGTAGGATCACAGTGAACTCTTTAAGGCAATGAAACACAGAATGTGAAGAGAGCCTCACTAGACCTTGTTCACAATATACCAAAACACAGGTAACCCAGTGGAATCTGCCAATGGAACCCATTCCTGAATTTCTTGCAAAACTAGAAATGTGAGAAATTCAGGACTCATATTCTTAAGAGAAAATACAAACATGGTGTGGTTAGCCTATTGCTTTAGCAATATAAAAAATGTGATTGGATATATTTTTAATAGGGAAGGAAAATGTATATGTTAATGAAGAAAGCAATATACAAAACTGTATATATATGTATAGTGTAATTCCAATGATAAACATAAATATGTAATAACATATATATATATACACACACATATATACATATACACACACACAAATCTAGTAGTAGGAAATAGAAGGAACACAAGGGATTACCAAAATGTAACTGACACAGGCTGGCTCCTGGCAAGTATCTGGTTCCTGTGCTTGCTATTGGATGGAGAGTGGGAATAGAGTCCACAGGACATGGTGACTGAATGCATGTAGGAAATGCAACTTAATTCAGTACAATTTATTATGCTCTCATAAATACTAGCTGTTCACTTAAGATTAATTAAAATAGAATATTGTGCATCTTGGGTACTTAGATTAGTGAGTAAAGAAATTTGCTTAGTGGGCGCCTGGGTGGCTCAGATGGTTAAGCGTCTGCCTTCGGCTCAGGTCATGATCCCAGCGTCCTGGGATCGAGTCCCGCATCGGGCTCCCTGCTCCTTGGGAGCCTGCTTCTCCCTCTGCCTCTCTCTCTTTCTCTCTGTCTCTCATGAATAAATAAATAAAATCTTAAAAAAAAAAAATTATTAAAAAAAGAAATTTGCTTAGTAATTTAGAGTTTTCAAAGTATATTCACTATCTTATTTCATCCCACAACCCATTTTACAAATGAAGAAACTGAGGTTAAGTGACTAACGCAGAGTCACAAAGCTAATGATTGGAAAGCCTAAATATATAGGCCCTAGCTAGGCTTTCTGTTTCCAAGTGCCACATTATTCAGCCTTGACTAATAGATGGAGGCCAAGCTGACCATATAATTTCTTTAGGAAAGCAGTACATCAAGTTTAATATACACGGAGGCTTCTAGTGTGCTAGCCAGGGTGGCAGCCAGCGAGTTAGTGTACATTCCTAGAGAAGCTCTTGGTCTTACAGGAGATTTCGTTTCAAGCAAGTGCAAATTGCTGTAGAAACACAGACAAGAGAGTTGTATGAAATGATAGAAAACTAGCATGTAGCTGTGTGTCAGGTACCAGAATGTGTCCTACACATAGTAGATGTTTTAGGAAGTCCAAATAGGAAAAGAGAGACCTTGCCAGGATTCTACCATTAGTGTTTCTATGTGTTAGCCATTTTTTGGTTTATTTTATTCAGAAAATGTGTGTCCCTCAGTTCTAGCATAGTACCATGTTTTAAGATGATAAGCTTATCTTACAGCGGTACACATTAGTATGGTCTAGTTAGGCACAGAATTTAATTCACATTTTACTGTTTTTGTTCTTCAACAGATGAAATGAATGATTTAACCTGCCAAGTGGTAAAAATGACTGGAATAGGAGAAGTGGATTTTCTGACATTTGATCCCATAGCTAAAATGGCAAAAACAGTTAAATATGATGTGCAAGCTGTCGCTGTCATTGTAGTAGTATTGAAACTGCTCTTTTTATTGGATGACAATTTAGAATGGTAAGTGTATGTCAGTTTTATGAGGAAAAAATTACACTGTTTTGTTTTTACCTAATTATTCAGAGTAAAGGAATCCTTGTATTATCTCAAGAGAAAATAGAGCCTCTCAGTTGTAGAACACTGACTAGTAGCAACAATTACTTGTTATATGAATTTTGACTCAGCTAGTGTCAGAGAGTTAATTCTACCTTAGTAAGTTGTTTGTCTCATGTTTTATTCCTATTTTTTAAGTACATACTCATGTTCTCATTGCTTCACTGATTCCCAACTTTAAATCGTCATACACAAATCCTAAAGAATCTTGTAGCAGTTGCCTAAAGGCATCTTTCTGTATGCCTTTAGGCTCCTGGCACTATGTGACTTCAAAGATTATTGTGGAAAGTAAATGAAACTTAAAGTGTCACTCCTCCCAAATGCCAACAAACAATGGCAGTATGTATAGTGATTGCTTCTCCATTAAAAGTTAGCATCAGTTTCAAGTACTATTCTATACTTTTCTTTCAGAAGAATTCAAAATTTAACTGTCTTCAAATAAGTGACTTCCAAAAAATTGACTTGCTTTTTGGTTTTTCCAGGACTTTGTCTAATATTGCTGAGAAATACAATGAAAAGAACAAAGAAGGTACTTAATTTTTTATCATTCAAATTCAAAGTCATTGTAAGTGATGGATTAAAAGATGCAATAAACGTAAGGAAGACTTTGAAAAATATATAAGTACACATATACAAACACTTGTATACAAAATGTGCCTTATACCAGAATTATTTCTTCATGTGATTATCTAATTGTACATCTAGGCTGCTAAACTTCAATGATTTCCTATGATGTGTAAAGACCAGCCTGCTTTTTCATTCCCGGCTTCTCCTCACTAGCCATGCTAGACCGTGAGCACACTGGCAGTTCCGTGACTGTACCATCTGTTGTGATGCCTCAGCCTTTGCTCACGCTGTTCTTCTACCTGAAATGTTTTCTGTCTTACCCCCTGACTCCCTCAATCCCTGACAAATCCACCTTTATTCTTCAAGATCTACCTTCTCTTCACACCCACTCCCAACCTTACCACTTCCCAAATCAAAACCAATCACTCCTGCGACAGCTGCTCCTATCCAAACACCTGTTAGAGGTTTAGCACACTGAATTGGACCTGGTGGACTATGTATGTCTATCCCAATTAGATTGTCAGTGTCTGTAAAGTGCTAAGAATAGCTGACATAGAGTAAAGCACGACATAAATGATAGAAAGGTAGGTTGTGAGCTTCTAGAGGGAGGGACCATGTCTTTCTTATTTATTTATTTATTTTTTTCATGGATCTTTAGTGCCTAACATAGTGTCTGGCCTAAGAGCAGTTCAGTGAAGTGGGTAGGTATATGAATTCTTAAATTCAATTTTAGTTCCTTAGTTCCCTCATTAGTATTTATGTTCATTGTTGTTTTTTTTTTTAAATAATTCAGCTTTTTTGGGGTATAATTGACATATAGAATTGTAAGATATTTAAAGTGTGTATTTTGATGATTTGATATACATGTACACTGCAAAAGGATTCTCTCATCTGGTTATACATTTATCACCTCACATTTTAATCTTTTGTGTGTGTGTATGTGTGTGTGTGTGAGTGAGTGAACATTTTAGTCCTATTCCCTTAGCAAATTTCCTTGATATAATACAGTGGGATCAACTATAATCACCATGTTTTACATTAGATTCTCAGACCTTATTTATCTTAGAGCCAAAACTTTGTACCCTTTTACCAACCTCTCCCTATCTCCCACCCCCCAGCCCCTGGGAACTACTTTTCTACTCTGTTAGAGTAGAAACTACTGTTTCTAGGAGTTTGACTCTTTTCTTTCAAGATTTCACATATATGTGCACTGGTTTTAAGAGCTCGGATTTAATGGTAGAAATCAATTTGTGAGTTCTTTCCAGAATATATGTGAAATACTTCTTTCTACACATTGCTTTATGTCAGCTTCTACACAGAGTGAAAGGTTGAACAAGGTGTCTTCTAATGTCCCTTCTCATGCTCCTTCTGTCTCAAAAAAAAGATGGTTTTAGTATAATCTAGTTAGGGCCACAATATAGATAGGAACTCAGTGACAGATTGCTCAGGAGTCATGTTGAAGTATGGAGACAGTGACTCCATAATTCCCATAATGTTGACTCCATAATGTTTAGTTGTATCAATGAATGAAGACTCAAATGAATAATGTATATGGTTATAATGTGACTTATTTGGTTACTAATCATGGATTTCATTTCTTTCAGATAAACCCTGGTTTGATTTCAGAAAATGGTACCAAGTGATGAAGAAATCTGTTGATGAGAAAAAACAAAAGTGGGAGGAAGCCAGGGCAAAGTATGTTGTCTCTTCTGGTTTTAGGTTTACCTGCTTGATTTCTAAGTCTCTTACCTTATATTTGAAAGCTGACATTTCAGCAGTTAGACCCCTTAGCATTATGACATTTTTTTTTAGAAATATTAGCCCTGTGTTCTATTTGACAATTTTTTTTTTTTTGGTGTTACTATTAAATAACCTCCAGATTTTATTTGGATTTCATCAGTGTTTCCATTAATGTCCTCTTTTTAATTATTAATTTTTTATAATTTGTGTGAGTCACACCTACATTTCTAATATTCCTTCTCCTTCCCCTTTCTCAAAGTTGATCATTTCCCATCTGCTTTCCGTATTACGAAGATTACAAGTATCAGCCTATGACATACGTAATTGTCCCCCAATAAAGTGAATGTTCCCCCAAATAAAGATCCCTACAAAAATCAAAACAGAGGAAAGCACAAAGAGAGGATATTTAATTCAGTCTCACCATTTGACTCTGAACTCTCGTTCTGATGTAGGTTCATTGTAATAGAGTGGAAGGAGCATATCTATAGAGACAGACAGTGCTGGGTTTGAATCCTGATTGCACTACGGACTAGTTGTGTAACCATGGCCAAATTACTTGATTTCTTAGCCTCGGCACACTGAAATTTAGTTTGCTCATAAATTTTCATAGACACTATATCTTACATAACATAGAGTATATTTCTATTGATGTCTGATTTGAACAGTTTTGTATCTATTCTTAGAACTTTGAGTCTTTACAAGACTTTGAAGAAAAAGTTAACGTCTCTGTATTTTAGTAAATTTATAATAATGCTCAATTGATCAACTAATTTTATATATTTTGAGAAAAATCAAGGCTCCTCAAATTAGTTAAAATAATTCATTCAGCTCTAAGTTCCTCATCAATGAAATAGGGATAATAATGCCTGCTTTGTGCTCTAAGAACTAAATTTCAGTTTTCACAGGTAGAACTGGATTATTTTTCTTCTACATTTAAGAGAGCTTTTAAATAGAAAAGCAGACTTACGGGGATGAATAAAGCACTGTGGGGAAGAGGATCCTTGCCAAAAAGGGGAGAGGTGTAGTAGTTTCTCACTATTCAGGTTTGATACACAATGATGAAAGAAAAGAGGTGGGGTGTGAACTTATTCTGACAGCCTGTGGGTACCCAGGAAACTGGGTCCTTCCTCTTCCTTGTCAGAGAAGGAATGTCTCTTTGGTCATTGGATCTCAGTGGTTACAAGAATATCAGGAAGAACAGGAGTTCATTCTGTTGTCTTAGGTTATCTTGGAAGTACAAGCCATTGGGCCTTCCTTTTTATGGTGCCAGCAGGGGTTGTCCTGACTGATACTGAGAAGCTAGGTATTCAAGGACCATGCCACTCAGGCATCTCAGTAGTAACTAAGAATTCATTAGCTCAAGCCAGGCACCAGCCTACACTGCAGACATAGCTATTAGAGCCCAAATTGATATTTCAGCATTCAGTTACAGATCTTAGACTTACTGACTTTTAGGTACTTTAGGGGAGAATTTAATGACCAGAGAGAGTATGTCTATTTCCAAAATGGCATCTTCCAGGGAGAGACCAGGACTCAGGGAAGAGATTGTCCAGGGGATACATTACCAAGATACTTCTGTATGGAGTAGGTGCTTTGAGCTGAGTGAAATACCGTATATAAATCACTACTGACTAGTGCTTAGGCACAGAGCCCCTACCCAACCCCCACTGTTAACATAAATTTGTAATTTTTTCTCCCATTATTCTGAACATCATCTTCCATGTTGTTAGATGAAAATTATTAAAGCATTTTCCATAGCTAAGTGTGGGTCCCTATGTATGAGATTATGAAAAACATTAATAAACAGTAGTTGAAAACCTAATAACAGCTTACGAGGTGGCTTTGATGACTTCCAGTTGTCATGGAAGATGCTGGGAGGAACATGGAAGAAAATTTAACAGCATGTGTAGAAAATCTTTTTAGCCTTTTGGGTTAGGCAAAATTTTGTAGATATACCAAAAGTATGATCTAGAAAAGAAAAAAATTATAAATTGGACTTCATCAGAAGAAAGAATATCTGCTCTTCAAAAGACACTGTTAAGAGAATGAGAAGCCATACAGTGGGAGAACATACGTGCACATCACATATCTGATAAAAGATTTGTATCCAGAATAAAGAATTCTCATACAGTAAGAACACAGACAAAAACCCAATTTTTTAAATGGACAAAAGATTTGAGCAAGTATTTCAGTAAAGAAGATGTGTGGAATGATGCTCAACATCATTAGGGTTAATAGGGGAATGCAATTTAAAACTACAATGAGATATCATTACACACCAGTTAGAATGGCCAAAAACAAAGCGAAATGAACAAACAACTGACCATACCTAATGTGGGTATTTAAAATGGTGCAGCCATTTTGGAAGTTTGACAGTTTCTCATAAAGTTGAACATACATTTATTACACTACCTAGTAGTTTGCTCTCTTACATATTTACCCAAGTGAAATGACAACTTCACGTAAAAATCTCTATTTGAACGTTCATAGTGGCTTCGTTCACAATGGCCAAAAAGTGGCAACAACCCAAATACCCTTCAGCTGGTGAATGGATAAGTCAAGTGAGGTAAATCTATACAATGCAATACCGTTCAGCAATGAAAGGAACAAACTTCTGATACATCCAACACTATGAATGACTTAAATGCATTATGCTGAATGAAAGTCTCAAAAGGTTACACAGGGTATGATTCCCTTTATATGACATTCTGGGAAAGGCTAAATAATCGGGATGGAAACAGATATCAGTAGTTTTAAGACCAGGAATCTGGGAGTGTGGGAGAGGGCTTGACTGTGAAGAGGCATGAGAGACTTTCGAATTGATGGGCCTGCTCTGTGTATTCACCGTGGTGGTCATTACATGACTGTGTGTGTTTGCCAAAGCCAGCAGAACTGTACAATGAACAGGGTGAGTTTGTGTGTAAATTATACCTTAACTTTTATTAGTTGGGAAACAAAAGCATATGGGAAAACTGGAGAGAAGTCTGCAGGATTCCTGCAGAAAACATTAGGACTTTGTGACGTGCCTCCATTTTTTGTATCTTTTGTAGTTTGGGGAAGAGGTAAGCAAAGTAAGGTACATTTTTAAAGAAGGAGTATCTAGACAGAATGTTATTTTAGATCACTTTTCCCATTTTCTGGGCATACGACCCTGAGGAAGTAATGCCTCCTTGCCTGTAGCATAATTGCCACCTGTGTATGCCTTATAAATGCATAAGAGATTCTGTCTAGATTAGGTATTTGCAAGGGATTTTTAATAGTGGGTTTACCCACTGATTGGGATTAGACTATATAGGAAACTTCTTTATTATTTTTTACCTTGAGTATACTGTTACATTTATTATTTAAGAAAACAAATAACAAAGATATTTGAAAGAATCACAAACTCCTTTACCATAGGGTTCAATGACAAGTTCTCTGATATATTTTAAATGTGGTATGTTCACTAAAATTTAGTTCACACATAATTTTCAGGAAAACTGTAATTTATTAACATTGATTGCATCTCTACATCAGAAGACCGGTACTTACTGTTCGTTTTGTATGAGTTACCAGAAGTACCTCTGATTTAATCCTCAGCAAAAGGGCAGATGGGCAAGGGCAAGGAGGAACAGTTGTTTCTTAGGTGGTGGTTTCACTTCTTGAGAACAGACAGCAAGAGAATTTTATGGTGAAGGAAACCATTTCTACATTTTTGTGTAAATAATATCTTCTTCAGGACCTCATGGCATCTGGGAGGCTTTTGGGATGAGCATGTCATTCTGTTGGCTTGCTGTCTCCTTCAGTGCTGCCTGCTTACATCTGTGACGTAAGCTCTACAGACGCATGTCAGTGGTCATTCTAAGGCAGAGCAATTACACCGAGTATCAGGAATTTCAGATGTTGCTTCAGAGAAACTTCTCTGAAATGTGTTTAGGTCCATTTCTTCTCCATTCTGCTCCAAATGTTTTTCTGCATTGTATAGGTATATGTGGAAAAGCGAAAAGCCACTCTACCACTCATCCGTTGACAGAGCAGTGGTATATAAAAGAAGAGGTGAGTTGTGTTGTCTCTTAACGCCATGTAGCAGTACTATTGTAGAAAAGCTAAATATCTTGACTTCTTAAAGAGTGCCTAGGGGCACCTGACTGGCTCAGTCTATAGAACCTGCAACTCTTGATCTCGGGGTTGTGTTTCAAGCCCCATGTCAGGTGTAGAGATTACTTAAATAAATAAATAAGCTTAAAAACTGTCTAAGGAATTATTTTACTTCTTCAGCAAGTGTTCCAGTGCCCATCCAAAGAAATACCATCCTCTGTAAGAAATTTCCAGAGGAATCTGTTTCAGGAACACTGTATTCTTTAAAACAGAACTTAAGTTCCCACCAAAATCTAAAATCATCCTATTATTTCTATGACTTTCAGAACTCTTTCTGTGGAGAATTGCCTGTAAGTTGTCTTGCTCATTTTTTTTCCTAATTGTGGTAAAAATACATTTTACCTTTTTTAAGTAGTTCCCCAATGCCCCTCATCCAGTTTCAGCTCCCCCTGTGGTTATCCTCTTGCATTATTGTGGTGCATTTATCAACACTAAGAAACCAACATTAGTACATTGCTAACAAGTAAACTCATCTGTTAATTAACATTAGTTTTTATTTTATTCCTTTCCTTTTTCCCTCTGTTTCCAGAAATGGTGGTGAGTCTACAAAAACAATTTAGCACACTGGTTGATTCAGCACCAACTGTTGAAAAGAAAAGTCCTTCAAGTTTTCAGTTCAACTGGACTGAAGGAGACTCTGCTAGAACCTGTTTCCATGGACATGGCCTCCAGGGGATCCTGAAGAAGAAAGACCAGTCACTGACAACCAAGAATTCACTATATTGGCTTAGTACACAGAAATTCTGTAGAAGGTATGTGATGCTTTTAGAAATCAAAGGATAAAAAATAACATGAAATCTCTAGTTTGTCATGAAGTAGTGTTCTTTTCGAATTTAAAGAAGTCACATAAAATTACGGTTGACTATAATAAGAACTAGATAGGTTATTTGTTGGAATTAGAAGATGTTGGGCTTATAATCAAGAAAATTGGAATTATACATTGAGTCTTGTTTAAGAGTTTTAGATGGACACTAACCTTACTGTGACAATCATTTCACAACATATACGTTGCACACTTTAAACTTAACATGTTATGTCGATAGTATCTCAGCAAAGCTGAAAAAGGTTTTAGACTATAAAGACTTTTTTCATTGTGCCTTTATATTTTTATACTAACTTCATTTTATACTAATCTCACTCTTTGTACATAGAAACTGTTTATAAGGCAGTTTCCCAGTAGTGAAGAGGACGTGCTAACGAATTGGTCTGTTCATATCCCAGCTCTGCTACTTGCTCCTTGTGGGCAAGCGATTTACCATCTCTACAGCTCTGTTGTCCCAGTTGTAAAACCAGCGTACGAGTGAGTTGAGGGGGAGCTTATATCTTTATATTTTCCCCATGGCACAGACAGCGTGTAATACTGATCTTCTTCCTCTTCTGAAAACCTCCGGTGGCTCCCATCTCACGCAAAGTAAAGTTAAAAGACCCTAAGGAGCCTACAGGCCCCTGCAGTTCTCTGACCTTCCCTGCTTGCCTCCTTTGCTCCACGTTCACTGCCCCTGTTCACACCGGCCTCCTATCTGTTCCTTGACCTTGCCGAGCACACTCCCCACACAGGCCTTTGCACATGCTATGCCTCCAGCCTGGAATGCTCTTCCTCCACATGTCCACACAGACTTACTCCTGCCAGGTTGTTGCTCACATTTCACTTCCCCATCCTGTCTAAAATAGCACCAACTCTCCCCTCACCCTCACACGCACACCTCATCACTCTCTACCCCCCTTGCCTATGTTTTCTTTCTCATAGCTCTTGTCAGTATTGAGTAGATTGTTATATATTTATTTTGCTTATTTGTCTGCCTTCCCCCACTAGAATAGAATATAAGGTCCTTGAGTGCAGAGACTCTGTCTTAATTAATGAAAAATCCCAGAGGCTAGAACAGGGCCTAGCACATAGTAGGTGCTCACCAGTTATGTGTTGAATGAATGCATGAAAAATAGAGAATGAGAGGGCACCTGGGTGGCTCAGTCGTTAAGCGTCTGCCTTTGGCTCAGGTCATGTTCCCAGGGGATCGAGCCCCGCATCGAGCCCCGCATCGGGCTCCCTGCTCAGCGGGAAGCCTGCTTCTCCCTCTCCCACTCCCCCTGCTTGTGTTCCCTCTCTTGCTGTGTCTCTCTCTGTCAACTAAATAAATAAAATCTTAAAAAAAATTAGAGAATGAGAATTAAATGAGATTTTGGTATCTGTCATATAGTAAATCTCAATACATGATAACTCTGATCATTACGTTAAATAAAACTAATTTTCTATTGAAGAGTTTCTCTTCCTAAGTTGAGTATCAATGAAAGATAAGTAAAATGTAGGAACTACAATAGGAGATAACAAAATGAAGTTATCTGTATGAAAATTTACTACTCAACAAAAGTTTAGCTGAGTCTAGAATGACTGTAGAGCAGCGCTGACTTGGCAGCAGCAACAGGGAGAGTAACTAAGTATTTAAGTAATTCCAAAAGTCTGGAACCCAAACCCCAGGCTCGGCACCACGGCTGACGTGCTCCATTCCTGTGCAGTGGTCAGTGCAGTGGCTTTTTCCGATGTGAAGATTTCATCAAAAGGAAGAGAAAAGATTGTAGTCCTGGCCGGTGAGGAGCACCCGCATGAGACCAGTTAAGTTAGAAAGTGGTGCTCTCTGCCCTTCTGTCTCTCATGCCTGCGGAATCGGTCCCGAGTTAGTTAGGGGGGAGCTTACACCTTTATGCTTTTCCCATGGTGCAATCAGTGGATTTCCAAATCTTTCTAAATCTTCACAGATTTAATACAGTAATATAAGACAGTTAGTTACAAATAGACCTTGTATACTCAGAGATGAAACAGCTGAGAATTTTTTTTTCTCTGCATGAACTATAAGGCTAAAAATTATAACCTATAGACAAAGCATCAGTGATACCATGACTTTATGCACCAAAATTCTGTCAGCCTTGCCTATTTAGACCATAGCCTAGAACCACAGAGTAAGCAAAAAAGGCTTCCACCAACCAATAAAAATGTCACAAAGTCCATGACTAGAGCCAACACACTTTTCTCAGAAAGCCCCTTAGCCCCTCACTCAGAGCCAGCGCACTCTGCCTTCAGGTGTGTTTCTGTCAGGCTGAGTTGTCTGATTTCCAAACTTCTCATCATCAAAAGAAACAAAGCAGGAGGGAGACTGAGAGGTGCTCTGCTGATAGTCATCTTGACAGCAAACATAAATGACATCTATTTGACAAACGAGAGAGGAGCCAGCATCAGAATCAGAAGCAGACAAAAGAACTCAAATTACAGCAGTCTGAAGTTCATTCCTGACACACTTTTTAATTGCTCCACCTAACAAAACAAGCCTGATGGGGTCTCAGCTTTAACACAGAGCATGACCCAAAATGCTGTGTGCATTCTCTTTGGCTTTGTTTTTCTAAGCTGTATTTTCTAATATTTTTACAGTAAAAATGAACAACTTGTAATAATATACTTTATATTTTTATACTAATTTCATTTTACACTAATTTATACTATACTATAAATTTATATTTTATACTAATAATGTATAACTCAGTTTTAAAAGATGTCCATACAAAATGGTTAAAATGAAGTGTTTTGATGCTTAGGAGAGCAGATCTTCAGCTGTATAGAGAATTTTGTTACACAGAAGGACTCATGTCTGAGGGTTCAAGAGACAAATGTTGTACAGTAAAATACTTGTGAGAACACTCAGGCCTTGAGAACTAAGCAGAGAAAGGCCATAAGAGCACTTCAGATATGAGAGGTTGTTTATGCTTCTTATCTGAGGCAGAATGAACAGTCTTCATGAATTTGAATGCCCTTAATATTCCTCACATTTATAGAGTACCCATCTGTAAGTAGGCCAGTTACTGACAATTAGCTGGGTCTAAAGACCCGTTGTAGGCACTGGCTAATCAAGTATCTGTCCCTGGCCTCCCTGAGAGGGGCAGGTGGTTCCTCTCTCCTTCCACAGGAAGAGGAACAGCCGAGGTACTTCAAATTGCCATCCACAGGAAATGGGAGGCTTTGGATGTCCCCCTACCCCCCCATACACACACAGTTTTCTTGAGGGGTCCCATAAAAATTTGATTTGAATTTTAAAAATTTTATTTTAACTAATATTTTAAATTAGAGTAAAAAAAAAAAAACAGTACTCAAATATGTATGTCATATGCCAAATTTGAACATCTTTCAGACCACCAAAACTTTAACTTGTTTTAGCAGGTTTGTTTAATTTTGTATGTATACAGACTTGAGAGACTATTCTTTTTGCATACATTCCAACTTCTCACAAGGAAGTTCTCATAAGGAAGTTTAAATGTACCTTACAGCCCTCTTTTAAATGTAAACCTGTGTTTATCCCTTCACATAAAATTGTTTGTATAAACATATTCTTATAGCATCCATTTGCCACACTCATTTATTTTCTGTGTCAGAGCTCAAGGAACATCCGTTGGCACATATTCTACTCACAGCAAAATACTTGGCAATAACAAATTATTGTATGTTATATTTGATTTTATGGCTTATAACTCTAGGAGAGTTTTCTGAGTTTGTGATAAAGAATATAATCCTTATAAGGTATTGTTAATGATTCAACTTAAAAATAAAAGTACTTATGGGAGCAAATAATTTGTATACCTTTTCTTATCTTTCTGGTGTAGAGCTTCCCTAGGTAAGAGAAACAATACTTTTTGCCCTTTTTGTTGTAACCATTTGTCTGGAAGAATCTCTCTTACAATAGCTGAAATTGAAAAGAAAAGAAGAGCAAGAGACCACCAGTTTGTGTGAATTCCTGTAAATGGCTTATATTTGATTTCTGTTAAACCAATCAATGAGTATTTGAGGCTTTTAAATGTCCTATTAGTGAATACGTGGAGTTTTGGCTTTATTTTAGATTATTAAAGTAGTCTTAAGATTTTAAGTGAAAACAAAAATCAGTTTTAAAGGAGTAAAGTGGAGGTGAACATTTTTGAGCCCTTTAGAAAATATATATTTTCATTCGATACTTCTGTTCACTCTATGAGGTAGGCACTGTTATTTTTTCCTGTTTTACAGGTGAGAGAACCAAGGCTAGTTATCCATAGTCACAACTGATGGAGGCAGAGTTTTGTGGTGCACACACAAACTTTCTTTCAGGAACATAGGACCATATATAAATCCAATATCTAAAAGTTTGTATCTTCTATATGTTGTTTACCTGTTTTTTTAAGCTTTTTACTCTGGAACATTTCAAGTATATTCAAAAATAGAGAGAATGGTGTAATGAACCCCCCTATACCTGTCATTCAGCCTTAACAATTGTCAACATGACTAGGCTTGCTTCCACATGCCAACCCACTCCTCCACTCCCGCCCCCAGATTATTTGGAAGCATATCTCAAATGTCATAATGTTTTTAAAAACAAAATCATAATAAACATCAATCAGACATTAAGAAACAAATAGTAATTCCTTAATATTATCAAACATGCAGTCAGTGTTTAGATCTTCCCAGTTGCTATGAAATTTTTAATATAATTCAATCCAAATAAGGCCCATACATTGCAAGTAACTAAGATATCCCTTAAGTGTTTTGGTTGGTAAATTCCCCTTTTATGTCTTTTTTTTTTTTGTCCCCTTGCAGGGAAAAAATTACTTGTTGAATAATCCGGGTCTTGTGTCCTATACAATTTCCCATAGTCTGCATTTTGCTGATTACAACCTATGATACCATTTAACATGTTCCTCTGTCCCCTGGATTGCCTACACCTTGGTATAGTTAGAGATGGAGTGTTAGAGTTAAGAGATTCATAATTAGAGATTTGGTGGTAGTTGGAGACTTGATCTACTACTTTTAAGATAAGTAAAATTGCTTTGTAAACTCTTCTTTCTATAATAGGTACAAGATTGTAGGCTACATTATCAAGTCCGGTGTCTTATTTTGGGTGGGGATTAGGGATTATTTATTTTCTTTTATTTTAAAACTATGCCCAGGGGCGCCTGGGTGGCTCAGTTGTTGAACGTCTGCCTTCGGCTCAGGTCATGGTCCCAGGATCCTGGGATCGAGCCCCACATCGGGCTCCCTGCTCGGCAGGAAGTCTGCTTCTCCCTCTCCCGCTCCCCCTGCTTGTGTTCCCTCTCTCGCTGTGTCTCTCTCTGTCAAATAAATAAAATCTTTAAAAATAAATAAATAAATAAAAATAAAAAAATAAAACTATGCCCAGAATCTCTTTCTGTATGCTATTGTTTGCTTTGAGCATGGTAAAAAGAAGCAGCCCATCTGTAATGGAAGGACTTCTGGGCAAGGAATTGTGAGTCCTGGCTCCAGTACCATCTATTACCCTGGTGTGGTAGCTAACCCCTGGATGGTGCTAGCATTTTTTCTTCTGTAAAAATAAGTTGTTTTGCTAAATTGTTCCAAGTTTCCTTCCAACTCTGAGTACTGTTTTAAGCCTAACCATATATATTTGCTAGTTTGGGGGATGTTTCAGGGATAGATGCATACATTTTAAATTGTCATTTTAAGATAACTTCTTCCTTTTTCTTCCCTTTCTAGCTATTGTAAACATGTGACAACCTATGAAGAATCTAATTTTTCTCTGAGTTATCAGTTCATAATAAATCTCTTCTCCTTCCTGCTGAGAATAAAGACCTCTTCCCTCCATGAAGAAGTGAGCTTAATTGAAAAGAGACTTTTTAAATCAAAATATAGTAAAACGAAAAAGAAATCAAGATCCAGGAAAGGGAGAAAATACTGAGAAAAATGAAATAGAAACTTTCTTGGGAAAATATTTTAATAGTGATACTAATGTCAAATTATAATATTCCAGAGAATTATGGGAAATAGAATTTGATTATATATCCACACATACATAGATACATATATATGTATCAAATGTGCTTATAAAAATGTGTATTGGAAAATAAGTGAATTGTGTTTGAATTTATTTTTTAAATTATGAATATTCTTTGAGAAGATTAAACAGTAAGTTTTATAAATGGTATCCAGAAATTTGTATTCATTGTATTTTAAAGCTAAATTTGCTTTTTTTTTTTTTTTAGGCTAAATTTGCTTTTAAACTAGATCACTTCCTTATTCTTTATGCCCCAAAGGAAATCCCAGATGGATCAAAGATCTAAACAGCATAATCTTTTACATATACATATATTACAGTACTAGAAGAAAACAAGTATGGCTGCTTTGATGATCTTGGAACAGGGAAGGACTTTCCAAACATTCCCCAAAACCAGAAGCCAAAAGGGAAAAATTGGTAATGTGACTGCAAAGTCACAGGCAAATAGCAAGTAGGAAAATATATTTGTAGCATATGACAGACAAAGGAATAATTTCTTTAATGTATCAATAGCTCTTGCAAAGCAATAGGAAAAAGACAGGCTGAGCCAGGAATATGAGAAGATAGCTTTCTGGAAAAAAGAAATACAAAGGCCAACCCCCCAAAAATGATATAAATTAAAATAGGTTACCAAAGATATATAAAGGTTTATAATATCTGGTGAGGATACTGGAAAATCAGGCATTCTTGTTCAGTTTATTCATGCAACAAACACTGAACAACTGTGTTCCAGGCATATTCTAGGCACTGGAGATATAGCAGTAAACAAGGTCCCTGCCTTTAAGGATCTTCGGTTCTAATAGGGTGGGGGCAGATAGTCAACAAATATACAATAGTGGGGCTGATGAGGTGCAATGAAGAAAAAGCAAGGTAAGGGTGATAAGGTGGGCCTTTTTATAAAAAGTGATTGAGGAAGGCCCCTGGGAGGTGACCTTGAGCAGAGATCAACCGGTATGGAGCAAGCCATGTTGCTTTCCAGGGGAAGGTTATTCCAAGCAGAGGAAACAGGCAAAGGCTCTGAGGCAAGAGTATGCTTGATGGAGTCAAGGAATAGCAAGTTGTTCAGGGCACCTGGAGTGTTAGGGTTGTAGGGGAGAGTAGTAACACAGGAAATGGAAGAATTTGCATTCGGGGCCATGGTAAGAACGTTGGCTTTTGTCCCAAGGGTGTCATGGGAAGCCATTAGAAAATTTTGAGCAAAAGAATGGTGTGATCTGGGGCACCTGGGTGGCTCAGTCGGTTAAGCATCTGCCTTCAGCTCAGGTCATGATCCCAGGGTGCTGGGATCGAGCCCCACATCGGGCTCCCTGCTCAGCGGAGAGCCTGCTTCTCCCACTCCCTCTGCTGTGTTCTCTCTCTCTCTCTCTCTGACAAATAAATAAATAAAATCTTAAAAAAAAAATGGTGCGGGCGCCTGGGTGGCTCAGTTGGTTAAGTGACTGCCTTCGGCTCAGGTCATGATCCTGGAGTCCCGGGATCGAGTCCCGCGTTGGTCTCCCTGCTCAGCGGGGAATCTGCTTCTCCCTCTGACCCTCCCCCCCTCATGCTCTCTCTCTCTATCTCATTCTCTCTCTCAAATAAATAAATAAAATCTTTAAAAAAAAAATGGTGCAATCAGACCTATGTCATAAAAGGACTACGTTGCTCTGTGGTGAATAGATTGCCGGGGGAAATGGGCAGAGGTAGAGACCACAACAGAGACTACTCTTCTGGTTTGGTCAAGAGGTGGTGGTTTGGACTACAGAGATTATAGTGGAAGTGGTAGGAAGGGATTAGATCCCAGATATAGTTTACGTATGAAATAATAAGAATTTGGTGATGGGTTGGTTGTAGGTGTGAGAAATCAAAATGCCCCGATTTTTTTTCCCCTGTACCATTTATTAAGATGGGGCTGCTTTAATTTCCCCCTATTCACCCTGTTTGTGAGGGAAGTTAACTGGGTTGGTTATATATAGGGCTGTGGGAATAGCCAAACACAGGGTACCCAAGATTGAATAGATGAGATTGACAGCAGCTAATTAATCACATATACTTACCACCTGGGAGAGGATGCAGCACTCTATGCAGGGCCAATAGGGTCACATTCGGGAACTGAGAACAACCAGGGACAGGGAGGCAGGCTTTGTATCAGAGGGATGGAGCAGCCCCTGGTTCCTGCACGAGGGTGTGATTGGCTTATTTGAATAATCCCATGGGCAGACAGGAACTCCTCTGGTCCTCTTAATAAGGTTAGGGGACCCTATCCATCGGAGCAGAGTGGGGAGGGGAAGTCAAAGTTAGGCCACTTTGGGGCCCTCCCCGTTTCACCAGATGTCAAAGCAGCACAAGATAATCAGGCCTTAATTTTAGGCTGTACACCACAGGGGAACTCAAAAGAGTGGTATTGGGAAATCAGTGTTATTTGGGGCATATTGAGTTTGAGATGCCTGTTAGACATTGGAGAGACGTTGAAGTCTGAAGTTGGAGGGGCAGGGGTCTGGGGTAAGGTAAATGTAGGAAACATCAGAATATAAGTACTATTTAAAAACCGTGAGGCCAGATGGGACCTCCTAGAGAGTTTGTACAGATAGAAGAGAGGTCTCCATGGTTGCGGTTTGTGCTTCAGCAGCACATGCCCTTCTACTCCTGGATGGCAGAGGGTTTTTTTCAATCAGGAATTAATGTTGGTTTGTTTTTGTTTTTGTTCTTTTGTTTTTTCAGATGCTTTTCTTGCATCTATGAGATGATGGAATGTTTTTTCTTTTTTAGCCAGTTAATATGGCTTTCATACTATGGTTAATAGGAAATTCAATTGAGTTTCAAATGTTAAACTGGCCTTGCATTCCTAGGATAAACCCCACTTGGTCATGATCTATCATCCTTTTCACATATTGTTGAATGTGATTTGCTGAAATATTAAGAATTTTTGCATCCATGTTCATAAGAAATGTTGTTCTGTATCTTTCTTTTACTCCATTACCACAAGGAAGATTTGTGGACATTTCAGTAAAGATAATCCAATTAATACCATGTTGGCCTCTTGTTCTTCAGCTTGCTACCTCATGTCCCAGAATGGATGCTATGATTCCACACAAACAAATCCTGGTAGAAGGAAGGAACTGTGACTAAACACTTTCTCAAGAGTGTCTTTGGTGAGAAAACCCTTTCTAGAAACCCCCTGGTAGAGTTTCCTTTACATTCCATCAGCCAGAACCGCACCAGGGGAACCATAAAGGGGAATAGGATTACCATGACTGCTTTAGATTATCATGATGCATTCCTACCTTCCCTAGGATTAAGGATCTTTCTCTAATATTTGAGCAAAATTGGGGTACTATTAGCAGGGAAAGGCAGGGGGACTGTCTGTTGATAGGCAATAAGCAATGTCTGCACATGGGGTCTTTCCTCTCTAGTTCAAAGTCTCAACATCTCATATGTGCAAAATATGATGGTATGGTATTATGGGTAAAACAATTCCTAACATCTATTGATCATCTGCCGCCGGGGCATTCTGTTAGAAACTTTATAACTATTAGCATCCGGATTTGTTCTAGTCTTATGGAATGCCCTAATAAATGCTTGCATAATGTCTATTATGTGCCAGACATTTTTCTCAGTGCTTCATATATTTTATTCATATATATTAACAATGGAGTTAAATTAATAAATGAGTTATTAATTTATCCTCACAATAACCACATGATGTAGGTACTATTATTCCATTTTACAGATGGAACCTGAGACACAGGGGGAGTTGAATAACTTGCCCAAAGTCACACAGCTAGTCTGGAATAAACTGCTGCTCCACACTATCTCTCCCGAGACTTAATCAGCCTTTGCTCCCAAGGAGCTTACAATATTAGAAGAGTCAAAAAAAATTTTTTTAGGGCACCTGGGTGGCTCAGTTGGTTAAGCTACTGCTTTTGGCTCAGGTCATGATCCCAGAGTCCTGGGATCGAGTGCCACATCGGGCTCCTGGCTCAGCAGGGAGCCTGCTTCTCCCTCTGACCCTCTCCCCTCTCATGCTATTTCTCTCTCTCTCAAATAAATAAATAAATAAATAAAATCTTTAAAAAAAATTTTTTTTAAAGATTTTTATTTTTAAGTAATCTCTACACCCAACGTGGGACTCAAACTCACAACCCCAAGATCAAGAGTCACATGCTCCACCGACTTAGCCAGCCAAGAGCCCCAGCAGAGTCAAAATTTATTTCACCACATTCAATATACAAAATTAATGCCACTTGATTTTATTATCCGTAAATTTTCCCTAGCCTCCACCCTGTTGAGTAGGGGTGGAGGGCAGCCAAGAGGGCAGCCAAAATACTGCTTTGAACCTTTAATCTTACCAATTAAAGATATCTTCATCTCTTCAGGGTTAAAAAGCCACTTTGGAATAAATATTTAGCAAAGTGAAACTTGAAATCCCTATTAAGGCTGTTCCTCCCATCCATCTCCTTCCCTAGATGGCCTCTGGGTTCAAGGGTGAGGTGGAGGAAGAGCCCCGACCCTATCTCTGTCCTCTAGGTCCTTGCCAGGCTCTGACGCAGATGGTTGTGGGTGCTGATCGCCCCGCTCAGCTCCCACTGGCTCAGGTTGTCCACAAGGAATGCTGGTGCTCAGCTCCACCGGCGCCCCCCATGCTCTGTGAGAATGAAGGTGCTTCTGGATCACCTCCACTCTCAGGGATGCCTTAGTATAGGGGGCCGTTTCTCCTTTGCTGCAGGACCCTGTAGGTGGGCTCCTCAAGTCCTATCTCTGCCTGAATACTTGCCTCAGCTATTTCTAAACTAGAAAGGTGCGCAGTGATGAAATAAGGCAGAAGTAGGCTGAGTGCCATGACGGATGGAGCGCCCCAGGAGCACAGAGGAGGAAGAGAGCACAGCTGGTGGGGGCAGCATGGCGGAGCTGGGCTCCCAGGGAGGTGTGCCCCCGTTCCCAGGCTGCCCCCGCCCAGAGCAGGAAGCAAATTTTTAATCTACTTTCGGGGGAAGCAATAAATTATTTTGCCACTAGAGTGACTTGTGATATTTGTTGATTTGGGTGGAATCTTTTTTATGAGCAAAACTTTATGTTTTTTTTTTAATTAAAATTCCTTACCACTGCAGTGAAACATAATTTTACAAATTATGTGACCACCCCAAAGGGAAATAAAACCAAGTAATATTTCACATGGTCTCAGCTCCCGTAACTAGTGTAATCTTGTGAAAGCAGATACTTCCGGGGGGGAGGGGGTATGAGTGGAATGCAATAGGTACTTCTAGAAAAAGAGTCTTTACATTGTGTCTGTCAGTGATCAGTCTAAGCTCAAAGCCATGCCAATACAGCATATATGTGCTAAAGTGGAGAGAATGTCATGTTCTCAGTTATCTGAGTATCAAATTTGGATCATCAGAACCTCATGGAAAACACAGCTGTGAAGTACCCTTATTCCGCACCTACCTACCTACCTACTGAAACTTTTGCATGTTTTCTCATTTACTATATCTAGATAAATCTATCCATCTACATCTGTGGCAATTAAAAAAGTTTGATCATAGTAGATTAACAAAAAAACTCCTAAATTTTTAAAATTAAAAAATTAAGCCAGTAAGTTATGATGAGAATCTTTTCCCATAAGAATACAGAACACTGGCCTAAATATTTTGTTAATCTACAAGGATAGCTCATAAATTTTGAACATAGGTGTTGGGTTTTGGGGGGTTTTGGGGGGAGGCGATTTGGTTTTTTTAATCCTTCAAAAAATGTGGATTTCTTCAGGCAGTTTGAGATTCTGGGTTAGACTTGAAAAGGAGGGCCTTCCACCTGCCAAATTTGGCTCTTCTTGTACTGGGTAAATGGACATCGTTATGGGAATGCAATGCTGGTTAACAGGGTGAGGAGCTGCTGTGTGCCTTACCTCGCCGAAGGGTAGTATTTCTCTGGGGCCACAAAAGGCTTGTCTTTGCCACACAGAAGTGGAACCTTCTATAGCCCAAAGGAAGGAGGAGAGGAGAGCCCAGGGCTGGGGCAGGGCCTGCACCTTTACCCATTGGGTTTCTGTAGTTCTTTGTTCTCTCTTTGTTTTTGTTTTTGTTTTTTCCCTCCATTGGCACAAAGCAGAGGAAAAAAAAAAAAGCAGTATTAATCCAACCCTGTATTTATACAGAAAGTGTTATTGCTTAGGAGAGAAGGAGCATTATTTCCAAGTCTTAAGGAAAACTTTGAGTAGAATTTCCAAAGTTCTATGAATCATTATATATTGCAGATAGTTAAAAGTATATATTTTCATGTTGGGCATAGAGCCAGTGACTTTTTTTTTTCCGCTTTAAATACCTCTCTATACTCAAAAGCTAAGTAAATTCACATAGTATTAAGTCTCTCACAAAATGTTTTCAAGAAGCTCTTAGTGTGTGTTCCCTTGTTTTGTGCCCTCATGAAGTATTTAAGCATAAAGTGATTTTAGTGCCAGACTTACCTGATAATAGGCTACGACTTGAGAAGAACTTACAAAAGAGTGCTTTTATTGACTTTATAAATTAAGAACCTGGTATTTCAGCTCACTTGGCCTTTTGCCCTTCTGCAACAATTATTTCCTCTGGAACAATTAGTACATGTTTTATGGATATTTGCGTTGAACCAGGTGACTCACAGATATTTCCAAAAGAATTTTTAAGCTTGAATTCCACTTAAATGTAATTACCTTTTGTCACCATTGTTGTCTGCATTAATTCAGATTAAGTGATTAAGTTAAACATTACCTAAAATGAAAGAGGTGGTCTCTGATTTTAGCTCGAACGTTAAAATTAGGAAAGAAGTGTTCCTTACCACGTTGAGGGGTAAGAAAATATTATAAACATGTTTACTTATTTTTACCTTTCTCTCCTTAGATATTCACACCAGAGTAAGTCTCCCTGGGAAGGTCTCCTCTGCCTGGGTCCCTTGTCACCCTGCTTGGGCTCTCTCCTCCCACTCCCCGCTTGGCCATTCTGCCAAAACACAATTTGCACATGTCGACTCCTCTCCACTTCTCCCGGTCTATCCACTGAATTTCTCCAAGTACAACCCAGGGATCTGTGTTTCATCAAGGTGGTGCTTGTTAAGACCGTTCCTGACTCCCCTGCCAGCCTCCTCCTCAGCACGGCCGGGGCTCCAGGTGGGTGGGGTGGCCTGAGAGTCTGCATTTTGTCACCTGGCCACCCCCACCCCCACGCACCCTAATTCTGCTCTTTGTTCTGCCTCCCGGTCCCCAACTCACTATGTCCCTTGAATGATCTCATCCTCCCTCTGTCTGAAAGGGCACCAAGTCCTTCCGCAGCATCAGGGAGAGCTCTTTCTGTTCCTCAGCACATACAACGCATCCCCATCCTATGTTTGGCATTTAGGGAAGCCTACTTCTGTGCGCGTCCTGTTGTCCCAGCCAGGCGGGAAGCCTTTGAGACCAGGGGCCATTTCTCATGCTCTGCGTATAGAACCCCACATCCCACAGATGCTCAAGAAAGGGCTCCGATGGAAGGAATGAGGATAAAAAGGGAAAGATTATGAAAACCTTCCAACTTTCTTATCGGCTATGCACTGCAGGGATCACTGCTTGACGAATGAACCCGGTTGTCTGCCTTCCAAATGTTGGATTTGAATCAAATGGAAGTTTTTTTTTTTTTTAAGATTTTATTTATTTGCGAGAGAGAGAATGAGAGACAGAGAGCATGAGATGGAGGAGGGTCAGAGGGAGAAGCAGACTCCCCGCTGAGCAGGGAGCCCGATGCGGGACTCGATCCCGGGACCCCGGGATCATGACCTGAGCCGAAGGCAGTCGCTTAACCAACTGAGCCACCCAGGCGCCCCTCAGATGGAAGTATTTTTAAAACAGAAGGGGGAACACGGCCTCACTTTTGCTCGAGGTATACCTGAGGCGATACCACAGAGATCACATGTCCTCGCAGTGCTGGGAATATGGCAGGCACTGGTCTCAGCACTTACATATCCCTCTCCTCTCCTCCCCTGACTGATCCCATGATGCACTACGTTATTTGACAAAGACACTGAGA